TAATTTTTATAATGGAATTTGGAATTTTGTTCAAGGCCCAATTGCTCCTTCCACTTCTCCAGCGACCTGTTGGAGGTGGAGGTCAGACGGACCGGGCCGGTGTCTTTTGGTAAATATAATGTGCTTGTTAAACAATTAACGGACATTTCAATTGCGTGCTTTGCACGTTCCTGAGGAAACTTCGAATTCCAAATGACGTCCATCTGGTGCCCGTTCCTCCGGGTTTCGACCGCCACAATTTTGAGTGAGTTGTCAGATAATCGTTCGCAACAAATAGAAACAACGGAGAAAATAGAAACCATGCAGTTCAATACATTCGGTAGGCCTTGAGATGATTGATTTGCTTTGATTTTGCTTTGATTTTTGCTTTGATTTTTGCTTGAGAGGTCGTCTAATTGCCAGTCGTTTTCGTATGGTAGACGCCTTCGAAGATGCAGGTGACAACGCAGGAGGAAACGCGGAAGAGAAAGTGCATGTTCGAGTCCAACAGCGGAACGGTCGCAAGTGCATTACAACAGTAGCTGGCCTAGCTGATGATCTGGATGTCAAGCGTATTTGTAAGGCATTCAAGAAGAATTTCAGCTGTAATGGAGCTGTGCAGAAGGATGAAGAGGTTGGGGAGGTCATTCAGCTCTCTGGGGACCAACGTACAAACGTGAAGGATTTCCTTGTCGACCAGGAAATCTGCCACGGAGAGAGCATAGTATTGCATGGATTCTAAGTTGAAACTAAATTGTAGCTTCTTTCCGGTAGAGATAGTCCAAATATTTACACGATGCCAAAATATTCTAGTTTGTCATTCTACAATTATTGACACTTGCTCAAGCTGACGGATCTTCAGGTCGCTCCAAGGATGCGATTTGGCTGACCTGCTGGAAAGTAGACGGTTGCGACATGGCTGCAATGGCGTCTCCGTGTCCTGTATCGCTAGGTTTGACGGGTGCAGACTGCATATCTCCTCCGCTACTCGACTGCTGCTCAACGATATCTTGAATTTGTTGCTGGCGATACTGCTGTCCGGAGCGAGCGTGTTGAATTTCTGGATACTCTTGTATGCTCTGCGCCGTGAGATTTGGAATAGCTTGCTGTTGGTAACGAAGAAGATATTGCGAAGCAACAGCACCAGCCATTTCAAGAGGATGACTAAAGTTTCGAGAAGGAGTAGTGGCAACAGGTGCCGGTTCTTTCCCCCTCTCCACTAAAAGAGACGTATGTGGTAGCGATGCCATACTTGGCGCACCAAGTGATGACCCCGACGACAAATCCTTATAAGCCCCTTTCCATTTTGAAGATACATTCTCAAACTCTTGGGCCGAGAAGTTGAATATATCCGCTGCGAGTGCCTCGTTTGTGTCGGCATCACCGTAACACGAGTCATCCCATATATCCGCGGATATCATTCCTGAGCTAAGTTTGTTCTTTCCTGTTATTCGAGTTTTCATTCCAGACTTTTTCTCGCCATCTTCTTCCTTTTCCCCTTGCCGTCGCTTTCGCCTGACATCTCCATGACGTTCGCATATGAATTGAGCAAGCACCATATGAAAGCCCTTATCACGCCCCCAGGCTCGTGCCAAATGCCTGAAAGAGGCCTTTGGGGCGCCAGTAAGCACGAGTATCTCCATCCAAACAAGCTCCCTTTCCCACCCTTCGAGTTGCGTGGCCGGATTGTCGACGGGAAACATTCCTCGAGCCCTCCTTTCCTCATTGCGATGCCATGCGGAAGGTTTTAGCTCATCAAAGCCTGCTTTGAGATGCCTTATTAGTGGCATTACTGTCTCTAGTGATGGGATGTAACAGATGCTAGAAGGCAAGACGTCGTCATAGACGCTACAGCCATGTGGAGGGGGAGGAGCCTCAGTATTGTCGACCTTCGGCAAGGGCGTTGTCATTCGCTTCATGGCCTTGAAGTGTGACTTGCACATACGGTCAAAATTGCCTTGAGCCTGTTTCTCACAGCCATCCACCTTGCATTTCCTCGGTTTGGCTCCATGTCTTTGACATAGTCCTTGCGATTTCACTATGCGTGCGCAGCCCTCAATCCGACAGTACCGACGTTTATGCTTCAAGTACTTTGGGTCACTAGCAGTTGAAGCGACGAACTTTGGAAGAGGCGGCATCGTTGGTTCTTTCGAATAGATACAGTACAGTACCTGGTACGAAACAGATTCGGAAATTCACTTGCAAGTTGGTAACACAGAGGCTTCTTTTCACAAAAGAAGAGAGGGACATATTTAGTGTCTATCTCATGTATTCAGTGTCGCGGTACTGTATTGGAAATTGGCAGGGTATGTTGAAATCCTGAGACGGCTCCACTGGAGCAAGGCCTCTGGATTGGGCTTTGAGTCAATAAAAGTAGTTAATATGAAGTTGGTTGATAAATAATCGAATTAATAAATTGATAAATTGTGAATTGTGAGATTATCACTACTTGAAACTACTTGGAAAGAGTTGCTGCATCGAATCTCTAAGAAAGCTAATGAAATTCGAAGAGAGCTAGAGCATCGATC